GTCTAAGGCAATTGTGTGTAAATATTATGCAGAAAATTCGGAAGAGTGGAAATTAGGAGAAGTTGTGGTGTTAATATAAAGCATTAGTCAGAGGCAGCTGAAGAGGGTTGTTGAGGTGGTTTGGTCATTTAGAGAGAATAGGTTCAAAGGTAGAATGACATGGAAGGAAAAGGCATATAAAATCTTTAGGGGGAAGAAAGAGGGTATGGGTCGTCCTCGAAAGGGTTGGAAGAGGGGGTAGGTTAAAGGAGGTTTTGTGGGCGAGGGGGTGCGTCCAAGCAAGTGTGCATGAGCCGGGTTTAGATAGGGGTGAATGGAGAGATGATACTTGGGACATGACGATTGTTGGAGTGGGAGCAGGGTAATATTTTAGTGAAGGGATTCAGGGAAACCGGTATTTTCATATAGGGACTTGAGTCCTGGAAATGGGATGTTAATGCCTGCACTTTAAAGGTGGTGTTGGGATATTGGAGTTTGAGGGATATGTTGTGTTCTTTATATGTATAGGCTTCTAAACTGTTGTATTCTGAGCACCTCTGCAAAAGCAGTGATAATGTGTGTGTGTGGTGAAAGTGTTGAATGATGATGAAAGAATTTTATTTTTGGGGATTTTCTTTCTGTTTTGGGTCACCCTGCCTCGGTGGGAGACGACTGACTTGTTGAAAAAAAAAAAATCAATTACTTGACCTAAATAATTTGCTTGGGTAATTTTATATAAATATAATTCAATTACATGATTAGAATAGTAAAGGGCATTTCAATATTACTCACCAAATTAAGGTTTTGGTGTCATAGCCTAATGCCTCCCTTTCGGTAGGTAATTCATATTGGCCAGTATAAATTAACATACCTATAGTGAAAATTAATACACTGGGAGGCATACATTACATGGATGATACTGCTTCTGTTACACCTTAGCTAATTTCATTTGAAGATTTAACCCTTTCAGGGTCCGTGCTGTAGATCTACGGCTTTACGTTCAGGGTCCAAACCACAGATCTACACCATGAGCTCAGCTCACTCTGATAAGCTGTGAGTGGTAAATTTGGGCCTAGATATGAGAGAATACATCTATGTGGTATGTGTGCACCACATAAAACAAATCCTGCAGCACAGAGTGTATAATGAGAAAAAAATGAGACCGTTATTTTCGATTAAAACAGCGACTTTGCAGTGTTTTTTCGTGTGTTTTTTATAGTTGTATTTGTGATTTCTTTGTCTCATTTGATAGAATGGAAGACATATTACAGAAATAGAGATGATTTTGATTGATTTTAGCACTGGAAATTGCTTGAAACTGAGCTCAAAGTAGCGGAAATGTTAAATTTTTGCCGATATTCAAGAGTAAACAAATGACCTCACACATTTAATACACGCCAGCTGGTGGGTCTAATATGCATTCACAAATGTGGTGATATTTATACAATTATTACAATATTGCATAACAGTAAATCTTCTATTTTTTGGTTTGAATAAAACTTCATGTGAATAAAAAAACAAAATGGAATTCATTTGTAAAGCCTCAAAACATAACTAATGAACAGAAGAAATGTTAGTTTAGTGCCAGGAATGCCTGCACTGTTTATTCTGGATCCTATTTTGAAATTGGAATATTTTGAGCTTTGTGTTAAATTGGCCAAATTACCAATTTCCGATCACTTTATTTTGTAGTTGAAACAGTTGACTTGGCGATTTCTTGTGCTCAAGTGATAGAATAGAAGTAATACTAGTGAAATAGCTAAGAATTTGGTTGACTGGAATAATGTAATTGGCCTAAAATGGGAGACAAAGTTGGCAAAATTGCCGATTCGTAAATATCGCTGACACATCAAAATTTGCGAGAGCATAATTTTGTCAGTTTTTCATCAGATTTCGTACTTTTTGCTTTATTACCTTCAGAATAAGATTCTCTACCATTTTATAAGAAAAAATAGCAAAATTTTTTTTTTTTTTAAATTCTTGGACCCTGGTGCACACTTCGAAATTTGGCCTCTGGACCCTGAAAGGGTTAACTGATTTCCAATTCCTTGAGAGAGCTAATACACCTCTGGATGGCCACCTGGGCAGTACTTGTCAGATTTAGTTTTTTTTTTATGGCCTCTCCCCATGGATCAAATAAAGAACTGAGACAGCTAGCAGTCAACTTTCCACACCCATGCCCAACACTGCCAATTGACTTCTCCACAACTCCTCCTCCCACACTCAGTTGGAAGCACTCCCTCACTTCCTCACAAGTAATTTGGTAGTTTGACTACCATTAATATGCCATATTTACATTTATATTACGTATATTATATTAACAATTATAGGAAAATTATAAAAAAAAATTTCCACATTTGCCTTTTGATTCAAAATGAGGTTAAAATTCTTGCCCCAATTAGGAAAAGATGTACAGTACTAAATTTTTATATGGTATTTCTGGATGGGTAATTATTATTAGATTTATTGAGATATACATATGATAGTGAAACCTCTCTGATCATTTATTTATTTTATTTATTTATTTTATGTCTTTGCACACAGTACATTGAGATTTTATATTTACAATAGTGGGTTGCAATGCAAAGAGAGCCTCTATTATGCCTAGGCATTATGGGCCAACTTAACATTATTGGCTTAACATTATTGCATAATCTGAGGCAGGTGTTCTCTTATCGTATAACTCCAGCCCCCTGTACCTCATCCCATAACAGAGGTTTGGTAGTTACATATTCTCAAGAAGTAGAGAATAGGAACTTCTTCAAGAAACTTAGGAGGTTTAATTCAATCCTCCCAAGAGGTCCAGGATTTGGAGGCGTTTGTATTTCTGCAGGGCAGACTGATATTAATTTGTCGCATTCAGCATGTCATGCAATGATGAATTTGCATTATTTTTCAATATTTGTAGTTATGTTCATCTTTTAGTGCTCCATAATTCTATGTGAAAAGATATTAATTAGATTTTTTTAAATTGTCCCTGCAGGGAAGCATCAGCAAATCTTGGATTGCGATGTCCATAAATTTTCTATACAACCATACAGATATTAATTTTTTTTCATGGAGGGCTTTAAACACAATCGTATTGTGGAAACCAAAAAACTAATCTTTTGGGCAAAAGTGACATAGAATACTGATGTCACAAAATGAAGATATGAAGGAAGAACAGACATCTTATTAAGATGTTTTGCTTGAAGATTAAGCTATCTCCTGAACACTTAAAGATGATTGTGGAAAAATTAAAAGGGTGCAAACTTAAGATTGTATGACAGTTTAATTTTTGATCTTGATATACACAGGCAAGAGAGATACATGATAATATACACTTGGAAGGTCCTGGAGGGATTGGTACCAAACCTGCACACGAAAATTACTCCCTATGAAAGAAAAAGACTTTGCAGGAAATGCAACATTCCTCCGATGAAAAGCAGGGGCGCCACGAGTACATTGAGAGATAACACAATAAGTGTCTGGGGCCCAAGACTGTTCCACTGCCTCCCAGCTTACATAAGGGGGATTACCAATAGACCCCTGGATGTCTTTAAGAAGGCACTGGACAGGCACCTAAAGTCAGTACTTGACCAACCGGGCTGTGGTTCGTACATCAGCTTGCGTGCGGCCAGCAGTAACAGCCTGGTTGATCAGACCCTGATCCACCATGAGGCCTGGTCTCAGACCGAGCCATGAGGGCGTTGACCCCTGAAACCCTCCCCAGGTAAACTTCCTTAGCTCTCTAGAGGTTCAGTATGATAAAATTGACAGTCTGTGTGGTGATGGTGCATGGTATAAAAACAGCTCTGCCCCATATGATGCATGATGAAAAAAAGCAAACCTCTGACTTTGTGTTTGGTTAACCCTTTGACTGTTTCAGGCCCCTTTCTGAAACTGTCATTCTATGTCGATAAATTTTTGAAAAAAAAAAAAAAAAAAAAATCTTGTGAAATGATAGAGAATCTTTTCCTGATGGTAATGACACCAAAAGTTCGAAATTTGGTCGAAAACTCATGGAATTACGCTCCCGCGAAGTTTGCGGTCTCGGCGACATATGCGTATCGGCAATTTCGCCGACTTTGAGCCCTGTTTTCAGCCAATTCCGTTGTTCCAGTTGGCCAAACTCATAGCTATTTCTTTAGAACTCCATTTTATCTATCGGCTGAGTACAAGAAACCGTCCATTTACCAATTTGGACTACCCAATATGGTGGTCAGAAATTGGCAATTTGGCCAATTTCATGCAAAATAAAAAAATGCCAATTTCAAAATAGGGTCCAGAATAAACAAGGTAGACATTCTTGGCACTAAAATAACATATCCTCTGTTCATTAGTCACATCTCTAGGCCCCTCTTATATTATTATTGCTTTCTATTTTTATTTTTTATTCATACAAAAAAATACAAAATTTACTGTTATGCAGACTACTGCATTATTGTAAAAATGGTATAAATAATATCAGTGCACTAGTGAAAGAATATTAGACTCCCCAGTTGACGTGTATTGGACGTGTGGTGTGATTTGTTTACTCCTGAACATTGGTAAAAATCGAACATTTCCGCTATTTTGAGCTCGGTTTCAAGGTCGTTTTCATCGTCAAAGTAATGAAAATCATCTCTATTTCTGTAATATGTTTTCCATTTTATCACCTAAGACCATGAAAACGCAAATACAACGATAAATACTATACGAAAATACACCTCAAGGTCGGCGTTTTAATCCAAAAAAACGATCAGTTTTTTTTTTTCTCATTACGCACTGTGTGCTGCAGGATTTTTTTTTTTTGTGGTGCACACTGACCACACAGACCCATTCTCTCACATGTGGGCCTACCAGCTTTCTCACGCTTGATTTGAAGCAGCTAGAATTATTGAGTATATATACGTCAGAAACAGTGGCGCGTAAGACGTATTTATGCGGCGTAAACAGTCAAAGGGTTAAAAGAGCTACTTTGAGGTGTTCTCTAGGATAGTGTTTATCTTTATATCGGCCATTTCTTGCTCTGTATATTGTTTCACATTTTAATTTTTCAGTCCATGGGAGAGTAAACATGGTTCTCTTTTGGGACTGCGAGTGATAGTCTTGGTTTCCGTGCCAGATGCAGAGAGCCAGATACAATTGGAGGTTCGACAGGCATCACTTAAAGCTCTCACTGACCTGGAAGTGAGAGTAAGACAGGCAGCAGGTGAGTGAAGTGTACAATAATTGAGCAACTTATATCCATTGCACTTTCTTCTCAGTTTGTTTGGATGTAGATCTTGTCAGTGGGGTTTGACCTTAGTGGAGTGAGAGTAAGTTCAGCACAAAATTTAGATTAAGGCTGTCAAATATATTTGGAATGTGAAGTGGGTCTCTTCTTTCACTGTCTTTTCATGAATTTTTCACTTGGGTTCTCAGCATTCACTACTTGCTAGATGTTTATTAACTCTTTCACTGTCCAGACCCCTAAAATTAATATTATTGCTTACAGTGCCCACTTTGAATAAAAAAAATAAAAATCTTTAGAAATGGTAGAGAATCTTTTCCAAAAGATAATAACACCAAAAGCATGAAATTTCTTGGAAAATTTACAGAATTACATAGGAGCAAAATTAGCAGTTTAGGTGCAATTTATGCATCTGTGATTTTGCCCAATTTGTGTCCTATTTTAAGCTATTTCCATTGCTTCTTCCATCTAAATTCTTTGCTGTTTCACAAGTGTGCCTTAGGCTTTATCAAGGAAGGACAAGTAACCACCCATTCAGCTATTACATTTACCCTATAAAGTGCACAGAAGTTAGTAATTTGGCCAATTTTACACAAAAGTAAATATTTTTTAATTTAACCCTTAAACTGTCCAAACAGATTTACGTTCACATGCACAGTGCTCCAAAAGTAGATCTAAGTTTTTTTTTTTTCAAATATTTTCAAATATAACAAAAAAGAAAGTAAATCAAGTTTTTTTACACGTTTTCAAATGTAAAAAAAAAAAGATCTACATTTTTTTACATACTTTCAAATGAAAATAAATGATATAAAATACCGACACAGTGGAAACATAAATACATATGCAGTTTAATGTGATCCTTTATTGACAACGTTTTGCCCACACAGTGGGCTTTTTCAAGTCACACACAGATCTACCTGGGGTGAGAGGTACGGAAGTATTTATAGTCGGGTTCAGAATGTTGAGGTCAGGTGGAGAATGCTGCATCTGATGATCTACCGGGTGGGGTTATAGAGTCTTGGGTAGCTTGGCAGGGGTATTGGACAAGTTGTGAGTAGACCTTCTGTAGTGTTCTATGTTCTTATGTGGGATAGCGATGAAGAAGTTTCTTGGCGAGTGGTTCAGCTATGTTATAGAAGCCGTTGTTCTGGTTGAAATTGTTGGTTATAGAGATAAGCGATGATTCCAGGATTCTTCGGTATTGGGTGTTGTCTTCTGTGGCGATAAGTCTTGAGTTTCTGTAGCTAATTAAATGGTTGTGTGAATTGTGATGTTGTACACAGGCATTCCTTGTATCGTCAGTCCTGCTTGCATATTGGTGTTCTGAAATACGTGTTTGGAGGTCTCTTGATGTTTCGCCCAGATATAATTTGTTGCAGTCATTACAAGGGATTATGTATACCCCTGCAGAGGATGGAGGCTTGTCCTGTCTACTACTGGTGATGTCCTTGATGGTCGTGGTTGTGAAGGTAGATACTTGGAATGATGTATTGGAAAAGATGTTGGAAACATGTTTGGCAATGGAGTTGGTGGGGAGGACTATGTATCTCTTCTCGGCAGTGTCTTCTCTGGGTGTGTTGAAGATGTTTAATGCGCGCTGTCTGCAGTCTCTGATGAAGTGACGAGGATAGTGGAGTTTAGAAAATACTTGTTCATTTATAGTGCATTCTTCCTCAAGGAACTCATTGCTGCAGATTCTGAGTGCGCGCAGGAAGAAGCCTATAATTACACCACGTTTAATTTTGGTGTCATGGGGAGACTAGAAGTGGAGAAGATCGTTTTGGTTGGTTGGTTTTGGTTTTCGATAGACTTTAAAACGAAGTTCAGTTTTGCAGAGAAGAACATCAAGGAAAGGAAGAGTGTTGTCGACTTCTTCAAGTGTGAACTGGATTGAGGGCTTGACCTGGTTGAGCTTGTCTTGGAGAGCGCTTCAACGTTCAAGCTCTCCAAGACAAGCTCAACCAGGTCGAGCCCTCAATCCAGTTCACACTTGAAGAAGAAGTCGACAACACTCTTCCTTTCCTTGATGTTCTTCTCTGGAAAACTGACCATGAACTTCGTTTTAAAGTCTATCGAAAACCAACCAACCAAAACGATCTTCTCCACTTCTACTCTCACCACGACACCAAAACTCAACGTGGTGTAATTATAGGCTTCTTCCTGCACGCACTCAGAATCTGCAGCAATGAGTTCCTTGAGGAAGAATGCACTATAAATGAACAAGTATTTTCTAAACTCCACTATCCTTGTCACTTCATCAGAGACTGCAGACGGCGGGCATTAAACATCTTCAACACACCCAGAGAAGACACTGCCGAGAAGAGATACATAGTCCTCCCCACCAACTCCATTGCCAAACATGTTTCCAACATCTTTTCCAATACATCATTCCAAGTATCTACCTTCACAACCACGACCATCAAGGACATCACCAGTAGTAGACAGGACAAGCTTCCATCCTCTGCAGGGGTATACATAATCCCTTGTAATGACTGCAACAAATTATACCTGGGCCAAACACCAAGAGACCTCCAAACACGTATTTCAGAACACCAATACGCAAGCAGGACTGACATACAAGGGGAAAGCCTGTGTACAACATCGCAATTCACACAACCATTTAATTAGCTACAGAAACTCAAGACTTACCGCCACAGAAGACAACACCCAATACCGAAGAATCTGAAATCATCACTTATCTCTATAACCAACAATTTCAACCAGAACAACGGCTTCTATAACATAGCTGAACCACTCGCCAAGAAACTTCTTCATCGCTATCCCACATAAGAACATAGAACACTGCAGAAGGTCTACTCACAACTTGTCCAATACCCCTGCCAAGCTACCCAAGACTCTATAACCCCACCCGGCAGATCATCAGATGAAGCATTCTCCACCTGACCTCAACATTCTGAACCCGACTATAAATACTTCCGTACCTCTCACCCCAGGTAGATCTGTGTGTGACTTGAAAAAGCCCACTGTGTGGGTGAAACGTTGTCAATAAAGGATCACATTAAAGGAGGGGTGTTAATGTTGCAGTTTAAAAACTGTAGTGTAAAGCACCCTTCTGGCAAGACAGTGATGGAGTGAATGATGGTGAAAGTTTTTCTTTTTCGGGCCACCCTGCCTTGGTGGGAATCGGCCAGTGTGATAATAAAAAAAAAAAATAAAATAATTAAACTGCATATGTGTTTATGTTTCCATACTTTCAAATGTTGAAAAAACGTAGATCTATGTTTGGATAGTTTAAGGGTTAAAAATAGAGTCCAATGTAAACAATGTAGACATTCCTGGCATTAAAACAATATTTCCTCTGTTCAGTATTCACATCCCAAGGCCTCTCATATATTTATATTGTCTTTTTCATTTTGAATTCATAATGACAAAAATAGAGGATTTACCCTATTTCTCAGATAGTAGAATGTAACCAGGAATGATGGGTCATGGTTGAAGGCATCCTAGTGATTGACTCAGATCTATTAATAACCCATAGAGCAGATCAGAGGGGTGTAGGGGGAGGCCTTACGGGGCCTTACCCATCCTCAGGAAAATCAGCAATAATTGAATATTTCTGCTTGTTTGAGCCCAATTTAAAGCTGCTTCCTGTTCTGAAACCATACAAAAACCATCTGTTTCAATAATATATCTTTAAATAACAAAAAGGCAAAATACCGTGACTGGAAAAATACAGAAATAACCTGCACATATATAGGTAGTAGGTTGGTAGACAGCAACCACCCAGGGAAGTACTACCGTCCTGCCAGATGACTGTGAAACAAAAACCTGTAATTGTTTTGCATGATGGTAGGATTGCTGGTTTCTTTTTCTGTCTCATAAACACGCTAAGATAACAGGGATATCTTGCTACTCCTACTTACACTTTGGTCACACTTCACAGACACGCACATGCATATATATATATATACATACATCTAGGTTTTTCTCCTTTTTCTAAATAGCTCTTGTTCTTTTTTATTTCTTCTATTGTCCATGGGGAAGTGGAAAAGAATCTTTCCTCCGTAAGCCATGCGTGTCGTATGAGGCGACTAAAATGCCGGGAGCAATGGGCTAGTAACCCCTTCTCCTGTATACAATTACTAAAAAAGAAAGAAGAAAAACTTTATAAAACTGGGTTGCTTAAATGTGCGTGGATTGTAGTGCGGATGACAAGAAACAGATGATTGCTGATGTTATGAATGAAAAGAAGTTGGATGTCCTGGCCCTAAGCGAAACAAAGCTGAAGGGGGTAGGAGAGTTTCAGTGGGGGGAAATAAATGGGATTAAATCTGGAGTATCTGAGAGAGTTAGAGCAAAGGAAGGGGTAGCAGTAATGTTAAATGATCAGTTATGGAAGGAGAAAAGAGAATATGAATGTGTAAATTCAAGAATTATGTGGATTAAAGTAAAGGTTGGATGCGAGAAGTGGGTCATAATAAGCGTGTATGCCACCTGGAGAAGAGAGGAATGCAGAGGAGAGAGAGAGATTTTGGAGATGTTAAGTGAATGTATAGGAGCCTTTGACCAAGTGAGAGAGTAATTGTGGTAGGGGACTTGAATGCTAAAGTAGGAAAACTTTTAGAGAGGGTGTGGTAGGTAAGTTTGGGGTGCCAGGTGTAAATGATAATGGGAGCCCTTTGATTGAACTTTGTATAGAAAGGGGTTAGTTATAGGTAATACATATTTTAAGAAAAAGAGGATAAATAAGTATACACGATATGATGTAGGGCGAAATGACAGTAGTTTGTTGGATTATGTATTGGTAGATAAAAGACTGTTGAGTAGACTTCAGGATGTACATGTTTATAGAGGGGCCACAGATATATCAGATCACTTTCTAGTTGTAGCTACACTGAGAGTAAAAGGTAGATGGGATACAAGGAGAATAGAAGCATCAGGGAAGAGAGAGGTGAAGGTTTATAAACTAAAAGAGGAGGCAGTTAGGGTAAGATATAAACAGCTATTGGAGGATAGATGGGCTAATGAGAGCATAGGCAATGGTGTCGAAGAGGTATGGGTAGGTTTAAAAATGTAGTGTTAGAGTGTTCAACAGAAGTTTGTGGTTACAGGAAAGTGGATGCAGGAGGGAAGAGGAGCGATTGGTGGAATGATGATGTAAAGAGAGTAGTAAGGGAGAAAAAGTTAGCATATGAGAAGCTTTTACAAAGTAGAAGTGATGCAAGGAGGAAGAGTATATGGAGAAAAAGAGAGAAGTTAAGAGAGTGGTGAAGCAATGTAAAAAGAGAGCAAATGAGAGAGTGGGTGAGATGTTATCAACAAATTTTTTTTTTTTTTGAAAATAAGAAAAAGTTTTGGAGTGAGATTAACAAGTTAAGAAAGCCTAGAGAACAAATGGATTGTCAGTTAAAAATAGGAAAGGAGAGTTATTAAATGGAGAGTTAGAGGTATTGGGAAGATGGAAGGAATATTTTGAGGAATTGTTAAATGTTGATGAAGATAGGGAAGCTGTGATTTCGTGTATAGGGCAAGAGGGAATAACATCTTGTAGGAGTGAGGAAGAGCCAGTTGTGAGTGTGGGGGAAGTTCGTGAGGCAGTAGGTAAAATGAAAGGGGGTAAGGCAGCCGGGATTGATGGGATAAAGATAGAAATGTTAAAAGCAGGTGGGGATATAGTTTTGGAGTGGTTGGTGCAATTATTTAATAAATGTATGGAAGAGGGTAAGGTACCTAGGGATTGGCAGAGAGCATGCATAGTTCCTTTGTATAAAGGCAAAGGGATAAAAGAGAGTGCAAAAATTATAGGGGGATAAGTCTGTTGAGTGTACCTGGTAAAGTGTATGGTAGAGTTATAATTGAAAGAATTAAGAGTAAGACGGAGAATAGGATAGCAGATGAACAAGGAGGCTTTAGGAAAGGAGGGGGTGTGTGGACCAGTGTTTACAGTGAAACATATAAGTGAACAGTATTTAGATAAGGCTAAAGAGGTCTTTGTGGCATTTATGGATTTGGAAAAGGCGTATGACAGGGTGGATAGGGGGGCAATGTGGCAGATGTTGCAAGTGTATGGTGTAGGAGGTTTGGTTACTGAAAGCAGTGAAGAGTTTTTACGAGGGTAGTGAGGCTCAAGTTAGAGTATGTAGGAAAGAGGAAATTTTTTCCCAGTAAAAGTAGGCCTTAGACAAGGATGTGTGATGTCACCGTGGTTGTTTAATATATTTATAGATGGGGTTGTAAGAGAAGTAAATGCGAGGGTCTTGGCAAGAGGCGTGGAGTTAAAAGATAAAGAATCACACACAAAGTGGGAGTTGTCACAGCTGCTCTTTGCTGATGACACTGTGCTCTTGGGAGATTCTGAAGAGAAGTTGCAGAGATTGGTGGATGAATTTGGTAGGGTGTGCAAAAGAAGAAAATTAAAGGTGAATACAGGAAAGAGTAAGGTTATGAGGATAACAAAAAGATTAGGTGATGAAAGATTGAATATCAGATTGGAGGGAGAGAGTATGGAGGAGGTGAACGTATTCAGATATTTGGGAGTGGACGTGTCAGCGGATGGGTCTATGAAAGATGAGGTGAATCATAGAATTGATGAGGGAAAAAGAGTGGATGGTGCACTTAGGAGTCTGTGGAGACAAAGAACTTTGTCCTTGGAGGCAAAGAGGGGAATGTATGAGAGTATAGTTTTACCAACGCTCTTATATGGGTGTGAAGCGTGGGTGATGAATGTTGCAGCGAGGAGAAGGCTGGAGGCAGTGGAGATGTCATGTCTGAGGGCAATGTGTGGTGTGAATATAATGCAGAGAATTCGTAGTTTGGAAGTTAGGAGGAGGTGCGGGATTACCAAAACTGTTGTCCAGAGGGCTGAGGAAGGGTTGTTGAGGTGGTTCGGACATGTAGAGAGAATGGAGCGAAACAGAATGACTTCAAGAGTGTATCAGTCTGTAGTGGAAGGAAGGCGGGGTAGGGGTCGGCCTAGGAAGGGTTGGAGGGAGGGGGTAAAGGAGGTTTTGTGTGCGAGGGGCTTGGACTTCCAGCAGGCATGCGTGAGCGTGTTTGATAGGAGTGAATGGAGACAAATGGTTTTTAATACTTGACGTGCTGTTGGAGTGTGAGCAAAGTAACATTTATGAAGGGATTCAGGGAAACCGGCAGGCCGGACTTGAGTCCTGGAGATGGGAAGTACAGTGCCTGCACTCTGAAGGAGGGGTGTTAATGTTGCAGTTTAAAAACTGTAGTGTAAAGCACCCTTCTGGCAAGACAGTGATGGAGTGAATGATGGTGAAAGTTTTTCTTTTTCGGGCCACCCTGCCTTGGTGGGAATCGGCCGGTGTGATAATAAAAAATAATAAAAAAATATATATCTTTAAAATTCTATCAGATGATACTGAGAACAGCCAATAAAACCATGAAAATCATCAAAGTTGCTATTTTAAACAAAACACACGGCCAAAGTGTGCTTTTCTCATCATACACCACGTGGGGCAGGATTTTTGCTATATTGTGTCCACTTACTGCACAGATCTACTCTCGTATGTATGCCAAAATTTACTGCTCACAGCTTATGAGTGAGCTGATCTCATGATGTAGTCTACAGGATGGCTACTTAAAGGGTTAAGTTTAGACAAATTTCACTTTTTTTACAAGTATAAATCATATAAGAGCATTTTCTGCTTGATTAGACCAAGGCTATTAGTATCTGAATAGTTCAGTTTTAGCAAAGATTTAGGGGACTTATTGCAGTCAAGAAGCATCATTAACCCACAAACCACTTTCTTCTTTTATTTAACTTCAGTCTTCTGGATGTTTGATCCAGAGGCAGGTTTAGTTCTAAAGGGTTGTAACTTATTTCATAAAACTTAGCATTTCATAACTAATTCCAATTATTTTTCATTGAAGTGCTGTATGTCTTTCAAATTGAAATGATTAACTCAGTCATTATTATTTTATTTTTCAGGAGAAGTATTGGGCTCACTCTGTCAGAAAGATGAAGGTGCCACATATGCCTCGTGCCGATCACATGTTTTGGAGTTGGTGCGAAGTAACCTGGAGAGACAAATGACTGATGATGAAGCTTCTAGAAATGAACATGAAGCTACAAGGCAACTTATGGAGAAGTTGTCTGCAGGAACACGAGAGAGGGAAAGGGACTGATTTTATTTTAAGACTTTTGTAGGTGAAAGAGAGTTTTGTGCCTTGTGTTGTGCTTTTATATTCTTTTGTAGCTAATAAGTCTGTTTAATGGCAAATTTATCTGGTCCAGGCTGTGTCCAGGACCTTTCCATTTTCATTGTAAAAGAAGCTGTGAATATAATAATGATGTACAATACTGACGGTTTCTTAACCATTTCAGGGTCGACAGGCCCTCTCCCAGACTTGTTCTCAGGGTCGCCAAAATTTCAAAAAAAAAAAAAAAAATTTTCTTATGAAAAGATAGTTTTTTTTTTTAAATCTTATAGGCTAAACAAAATTTTTTTACCATCAATACTTACCGAGATATGGAGGCGTGAAGTTGACAGAAAATGACCGGCATACTCTGGTGGCCTGGTGGTTAACGCTCTCGCTTCACACGATGAGGGCCTGGGTTCGATTCCCAGCCAGAGTAGAAACATTGGACGTGTTTCTTTCCACCTGTTGTCTATGTTCCCCATCAGTAAAATGGGTACCTGGGTGTTAGTCGACTGGTGTGGGTCGCATCCTGGGACACTGACCTAAGGAGGCCTGGTCACAGACCGGTCCGCGGGGGCGTTGACCCCCGGAACTCTCTCCAGATAATCCAGATACTGTAACATCACCGACTGCCTGTCACCCGGTTTTAGTTTATTTAGTTTTTTGGTATTATTTTCTGTTATTTTTTTATTTTTTTTTTTTTAAGTAACCTTTATGGCCTGTGAGACCAATATGAGCACTATTTTGTAAGTTTTTTCTCTATTTGCTACACAATAACTGCACAAACACTGTTCTCCTTATATTGTTTATAATTGTTGTTTACACACAAACGATTTGAAATGTTGTTTATTACTACTTTTTTATATTTTATATACACATATAGTCACAGGGAATGTTTCTAGAAGTTCTGCAGCCTGTGGAAGTCTTTGAAACCTGGTGTCATGCACAGTGGTGTTTTACACTCCTCACACATAAAACGAGCATCTCTTCTGAGCCTTTTTCTTGAAAGCAGTAGCAGGCAGTTGTATTAGGAAGTGATCACCATGCTTCAGATGAGAAGGTAGTTGTTGATAATTTAGTGGGTGGTTTTCTATTACAGCTGTTGTTCCTTGGTACTTGAATATTATTTGTCTGATGACAGACAAACAGAATTTGCCATATGGTGGTTTGTTTCTGGTCCTCATCTTATACATACATGTATTATAAGCATTGAGCATGGAAATGTCCAGAAGATGGAAAAAGAGTCTTATGTACCACTTATAACTCTTGCGAACACAATCAGCAAGCCCAGTCTGCATGTCACGTTTGTCCACTGAGAGCATATTGAAGGTGTAATCAATCACAGCTGCTGGTTTTAGAATGGGTTCATTGCTGTCTCTATGCTGCCTGCCAGTGTTTGTCATTTCGTTAGGGTGAACTGATGACAACAGTATGACATCTTGTTTGTCATACCACCGAAATGCCATGATGTCATTGGCAGCAAACGCCTGCACCTCACCTTTACAAGTGCCAGTTTCAAACCTGGGCATATGTTTACGATTTGCACGCATTGTGCCACACACACATCTGTCATGTTCACTCGCAAAAATTACTGAGTGAGGGGCTTGTGTACCAGTTATCAATATACATGTATAATATATGCCCCTTACCAAGGTATGGTTCTATCATTGTTCTAACCATATCACCAGAGATGCCCAATAACTTCCTGGTATTTTACAATGCATAACTTCCAGTGTACACAATAATATCCAATACAAGGCCACTGTAGCAATCACAAAGCACAAACAACTCTATACCAAAGCGTTTCCTCTTGCTTGGTATGTACTGCTTGAAAGAGCCTTCCTTTGAACAGAATCAAAGACTCGTCAATTACAAGCTTCCTGAAGGGATAAAAATACATACTGAATTTCTCTTTCAGATACATGAACACATTCCTAATCTTATATAACCTGTCGTTTCTGTCAGGCCTGGTTTTGTCTGAGAAGTGAAGCATACGTAATAGTAGCACAAATCGATTCGCTCCCATTATATCACTGAAACCTGGGGTTGCAATCAGGCGGTCTGTTGGCCAGTATGATTTCACAGTGTGCTTATACACATGTGGCATAAGCATTATTGTGGCAAAGAAAAGATACATCTCAGCCACAGTTGTCTCCTTCCACTTGTGTAGACGTGATTTTGGTGAAAGTATTGTGTTTGCCATGGTGTACTCGTGGTATCTGTTGCTTTCCCTGACAATAATTTCCATCGGGTTCATCAAAGAATAACTCGAAACATTCCAGTTCACTAGCATTGTTCCCCAGTGTACAATATGGCCATATTCCACTTTGGCTTTCATCACTCTGGTTGGGATTTGGAACAAAATTGGCAGCTTCCTTCCAATCCCAAGTGCAGTCTGCTGGTGGGTACTGGACATTGACAGGTGGTTGTGGTTGTGGAGTTTGTGGTTGTGGAGGTTGTGGTTGTGGAGGGTGGTGTGGTGGGTGGGGGGGGATGGTGGCCTTTGTTGTAGATCAGCTGAGGCAGCGGCGTGGGTGGCAGCGTGGGTGGCAGCATGGCCCACTGCTGGTGCCTCACAGCTGGCACCACCACTACCACCACCACCATGCACATTTTCCTGCCCAATTGCAAAACTATCATCTTCATTTTCACTGTCTGTTCCTGTTGTTCAGCCACGGGATGTACTGCGAGATGTACCTTCCCCTTGGAATAGCATATGGCACACTACCAGAGCGCATATCTCGTCATATATACTGACGCTTCACTGGAGAATATTCCACTTCACTATCACTACTGGAACTGTTTTCAAGAGCTTGTAGTTCATATCCACTATCACTGTCATCACCAATGCTCACATTTGAGTCCGGGATTTGGGAAAATAGGAGTTTCCTCTTTGATTCTCGTACAACTGAACGTGAACAAGATGGCCCAGCAGCAGAGGTGGAAGGCTGAGGGTTGTCTGGGTTTTCCTCACTATTACCGGTATTATGGTCATTAGTTTTGGTCACAACCTCTCCAAAACCTTGAAACTCATCTTCACTGGCACTTCCATCTGTATTAGAACTGTCACTGGGGAACAAAAGTGTCCCAATTCGCCGAGGAGTAAGGAACTTCTTACCGTGAGGCATGGTGAACAGGGTCTACTAAAATGGCATTCCCACAATGAGCCACTGGGTCCCAGATTTTTTTTCTACCACGCACACCGACCACACACACCCATTCTCTCACATCTAGGCCTACCAGCCTTTTCCCACGAGATTTGAAGGCGCTAGAATTTATGCGTACTAGTACATCAAAAACCCTGGCGCGTAAGCCGTACTAGTACTACGTCGGAAACCTTGAAAGGGTTAATTCAATGAAAAAGGTAATAAGTTGAATGTTGTGTATGACTGTTTAATTCATGATTTCACTCTGGCCACCTAAATATATTTTAAAAGCCTACTATGATGTGTCTCATAAACTAAGGTGTGAAATTTCTGTTGATTAAATAATGTCATCTTCTGCCCAGATTTGTAGGTCTGTATGTTGCCATTCCTCAGCCGATGGCATCTCTGTATTTTTGTTATAAACAATAAGTAATGCAAGATAAAATGCCTGAGGAATGTGAATTTATGTGCCAATAGAATTCCAAGTTATGGAAGATATGATGCATTTCTGGAAATTGTTTGAAATTCAAATGTTTGAAGCATGGAATCTATTTTCCCATTGACACCTAAGTAAAAATTTGATCTTGAAACCTATTTTCCCATACATCTAAGTTATAATTGAAACTTGAAATTCATTTTCCCACAGACTCCTGAATTATAATTAGAAATACTTTCCCATACTATGACATTCTGAATCTAATTTTCTTTATCTTTTAAAGAATGAGACTAAAAATGCTGTACAGTATTCAGATGCTTTAAAATGTTTCAGAACTTTAATGTGAAAATGTTGTAAAATAAATTTAAAAAATGCAGTATTAGAATGTGGGGCAGAAGTTTGTGGCTATAGGAAGGTGGGCACAGGAGGAAAGAGGAGTGATTGATGGAATGATGAAGTAAAGGGTATGATAAAAGAGAAAAAGGTAGCTTATGAGAGTTTTTTTCAAAGCAGAAGTGTTATAAGAAGAGCAGAGTATGTGGACAGTAAAAGAAAGGTGAAGAGAGTGGCGAAGAGAATGCAAAAGGAGAGCAGATGATAGAATGGGAGAGGCACTGTCAAGAAATTTTGATGAAAATAAGAAAAAAATTTGGAGTGAGATAAACAAGTTAAGGAAGCCTAGGGAACGAATGGATTTGTCACTTAACCCTTAACCCCTTGACTGTCGCAATCCCCAATCCTGAGGTGTCTCCTGATGTCGCAAAATTAAAAAAAAAAAAAAAAAAAAAATTCTTATGAAATGATAGAGAATCTTTTCCCGATTGTAATGACTCCAAAAAAAAAAAAACTAAATTTGATGGAAAACTGATGGAATTACGCTCTTGCGAAGTTGGCAACCTCGGCGATATTTACAAATCGGCGATTTCACCCAGTTTGAGCCCTATTTTCGGCTAATTCCATTGTTCCAGTCGACCAAACTCATAGCTCTTTCTTTAGAACTTCATTTTTTCTATCGATTGAGTACAAGAAACTGCCCATTTACTGATTTCAACTGCCCAATAATGTGGTCAGAAATTTGCAATTTGGCCAATTTCACGAAAATTAAAAAATATGACAATTGCAAAATAAGGTTCAGAATGAACAATGCCGACATTCCTGGCTCTAAAATAACATTTTCTTTGTTCATCAGTCACGTCTCCAGGTCCCTCTGATATTACTCTTGCTTTCTATTTTGAATTTTCATTCAAACAAAAAATAGAAGATTTACTGTTATGCAGACTATTGCAATATTGTAATAATTGTGCAGATAATGTCAACCCATTCATGACTGCATATTAGAATGGCTAGTTGGATATTTATTGGACAATGACATCATTTGTTTACTTTTGAAC